GGGGGGAGGGGGGAATGGCGATCCTCACGGCATTGAAAGTTCTCCGTAAATATTTCGCGAAGAAAATACTGTGGCAATAAATGTAGGGAAGAGTGAGGTAAAACTAACACCTTTCATTACCTTTGACTTTTTTTGAAATGTTCATCACCTGTTCAATTCTTCATGAAATCGAATAATTTTATTTTCCAATTGAAAGACCAACTATTCCCTTTGCGATGAGCTCAGACTGAGCTCAATTGATAAACCTTTTTTTGAGTTATGAATATTTTAAAAAAAGTCAAAAAGATCCATTTTACCCCACCCTCCCCTATTCAGTGAATAATATTGCTATACCGAAATGTTTGGAGTAAATACTTTATGTACCCATCACTCATTTATTTTCCATTAATCTCCCACAATACAAACGAGCAATTACACCAATTGATTTAATTGATCCTGAAAAAATGAAGAAAATACGTGACGCACTCATATAACTGCTCATGCATTCCTCAGCGGAGTAAACTTATTCCTTAAAAATGCTTAAAAAACAAATAAAAAAACTCCCAAAATCATTTTTTCAACATCACCCCCCCTCCCCACTCGGCAATATTTATCTCCCGCGACCGATAAGATTGAACATCACTCGATAATTTATGTGGGTCACGCAGCTGCTTCACTCCCGCATCACTAAAATGCTCTCAAAATTAATTTCCATCTCAACGATAATGAACTGAAATATCTTAATCACCATATGTCGCAACGTCCCCCCTCCTCCCCCCCGCCCGCCGAAGACAGTAATCAATTATCATTTAAATTAAAACGTCAGAATCACAAGCCCCCGAAAATCGCGGGAGTGACGCCCATCGCCTTCAAATATCTAAAAGCGTTTCTTGAATATAAAAATCGTTTAGGAATGAGATTAATTACCTTTTCAAGTTCCTTCTCAATCTCGAGTGCTCGAATGAGCAGAGGTCCCCTCACCGCGTACTCCATGCGACGCAGATTCGAGTAAACATTGTCAAGAGTGAGAGTTTTTCCAGCTGATCCGGCCATGGTGCGACGATTGACTGTTACGATGCCGGTCACTGATTGCACTAGCCTTGTCATACCAATGTTTCGGCCTGATGCCGTACCAGCAATGCCCCGCACCCCGCACTTCCATTGGTGGACGGACGCACCTCCAGCCACCGCACTCCTCAAGTTTCGCGTGTGCGACATGATGAGGTCTACGCTGTGCATTTATCGGGGAACAGAGAGAGTGAGAGAGCGGAAAAAAGAGAGGAGAGTAAAAAGGTAAGAAGATGACTGTGATAGTTGGAAAAATTTATGGGAGGGAGGGTCCGCTCGGGGAGTGGGGGTGCGGCTGGGGATTGAAGACGAATGTGTAGTTTATGGCGCGTTCGGTGATCGCTCACACACGTATCGCGGAGCAATTTCGGGGAGACTGGTGGTGGAACGGATGCAAACCACCAACTGCCAGTCACCGAGATTTGTCAATTTCTTATTATGGAATAGCAGGGCCGAGTCAAGACACTGGGAATCGATGGGTTGGTGATACTGGGTGGAGTAGGTGGCGCGAGTGAGGGTACCTCGGGGATGTTTTGTTTTTGTTGACATGTCGGGGTTAAATGCGCGCGACGGGCCTGCGGAGCGCGAAGAATATTTCAAGGGCCAAGTGGTAACACGGTACAATAAATGTATTACAATTTATCATTGGGGGACAATGGGGTTAAATGGACACTTTTTACTTTTTTTCAAATGCTAATGAATGACTGAATTGTTGATGAAATTGAATCATTTTTTTTCAATGAAAAGGGAGATTCTGCCCCCTTGAGAGGAGCCTAGACTGAGCTGAATTGATAAATATGTGTATGAGTTATGAATATTTTTTAAAAAGTCAAAAGTTCCATTTTACGCCACCCTCCCATACATAGTAGTAAAATATATAAGTTGTATAATAGTCTCTTAATGTTAATTAATTAGTTAGTGTCTTTGTTAAACATATTTTATATCTGAATTGAAAAATTTTTGAAGAATTTTGAAATAGCTTTAATTTCTGCTTCTGAGGGACTTTAGGATATCTTAAATATTCAGTGGTCTGGGGTTAACCCCAAACCACTGGAGAGGTCTGCAAGAGCAATTGCTCTTGCTGATCTCTTTGAGGAGTGTTTTTCTTTCTTCCACGTGGTAAGGTACAAGTCAATTTTGACTATTGACAAGTTTTCAATGAATATCTCGGAATCTAAGGGAAATAGCAAAATTTTTGTTTCAACCTTTCCTGTAGAGCCGACTGGATACTACAACAAATGTGATTACGAAAATTTCGCTATCTTTCTTAGATTCGAAAATAATCCGCAAAAACTCAACTGAGAGATGAGTCGACTTAAAGCCTTTTACCACTTCGCTACTGATTTGGAATCAGGGATTTTTATTTTCCCGCGAAGTCGAGAATGTTCTGCTCTCTTTTATGAGGTTTGTGGGAAACTATCGAGTGGATTTCGGCACGGGGTTTCGGCACTGTACAACAATTTACTGCAGTTTTTCTTTCGAAAAGTTTAGAAACAACGCATAAAAATGATTGCAGAGTGATAAAACGTCGGGAGTTATTGAATAGTGATGAAAAGCAAAAACAGTATCTTTTTTTGCGGCAATCCGATCGATAGTTTGCCAGAAATTTACAAAAAACGGGAAAATTGGCTGAATGGCGCCAGAATGACGTTTAAGGAAATCCAAGTACTTTGGCAATTTTTTTTCTCCAGTAAAATGCTTTTTACTTTTGTAGTCGGAATATCAGAGCTTTCATTTCACCCCCATTTGACCCTAAGTTTATTTTATTATTTAAACTTTGCGCATCTGAATTTGAATCTTGATATTAAACCGTTAGAAAACATTTTAAAAATCTGAAAAAAATTCGAAAGTCATTCTTTTGGGGGAAGATGGATGAAATGATTTTCTCGAACTTGAACTTAATTTTTATGCGCGTCAAATCAATGGTTTTTATTTTTTACTACGAATGGAGACTTCATTAATTAGAAATGAAATCGTTAAATCGATCATTTATTTGATTTTAATGCGAGATTTATTGGAAATGAATGAATTATTTATTTCTAACAGTTGGAACATGCCCAAGGAAATGAAATTTATTAGTTCATTAATTTTCAATGAAAATATTGTTGACATGAGTGAAGAAATTACGAATGAAGAGTCTCATTTAGTTCAATTTTCTTAATTGTTTCGAAGATTCCGAGGGTATTTAATTCATCTAGAAATATTGTTTATGTAAATTAAATAAAATTTATCTGAAAAAATGAAGGGGTCTATTGACATAGCTCTGAATGAAGCTTTTTTTTCAGCTTAAACTTGATTTTTATTCATATCAAATTGATTTTTTTTCATATTTTACGTATTCTAATATAGAATTTATTTAGAATAAATGAATTATTCATTTCTCACAATTGAAGCATATACATTAAGATGAATATATTATTATTCCCAACAAAAATGTTGTTGAAAGTCATCTAAAATGAAAAAATTAAGAGTCTCATTTGGCTTGAATGCATCATTTTTTAGATGAAATCTGAATTTTTTTCCCGGAAGACATGTTTTTGATAAGTCTGACAGCGCCACTCTTAAAAAATTAAATTAGTGTTTTACTCATCTTTATTTTACGCAAAATTAATGATTTCTTGGGATTTAGGAAACTGTAAAAGACAATTTACAGATTTTTAATACATGAGGATAACTTATATTTATTATTATTCGCTTATGTAAGATCTTTGAATTTCGTTCTGAACTGAATACAAATAGTAAACTGATGTCAATTGTCTCAGTAAATGATAGCAGTCTATTATTCATTCGGCGAGGCAAGTGTTCGGATTAGGGACACGATCGAAAACGCGACTCGAGATGCGTGCGATCACAAGATTATTGTTTCGATCTCACTCAATCGTACACAGCAAGCATTTAGTTATGTAATAACAGCGAAAAATGATGGGATTGTTTTGAGAATTTTTGAGAAATTTTAGGTAAAGCGACGGTAAGCTGCGTTCTTACGTGAACCGAGAGGTGAGCGATCGGTGATAACAGCCGATGGAGGGTCAATGACTCGGTTTACTGCGCATTATTGTAATGACACTTGATGAACAGGTGATGCTTACAATGTCAAATTTAACGGTGAGGGTTCTTCTGAGAGTAGATCACCGTTTTATCGGCTGTAGGAAATTAGGATCGGTGGCACCATTCTCCGGGAGATGGCGCCAGACATTTGAAAAAATTGATATTCGAAATGCCCAATATTTATTTATTCAAATTTTTATCTTATCCTCAACCTGAGAAATCATTTACTTCAATTAAACAAACTTTATTTGGATCAAATGGGCTTATTTAATTAGCTCATGATTACGCTTTTATTCAAACTTGAACTTGATTTTTATTTGTTTTTTTATAATTTTTTTTTATATTTATGGTACTGAAGGGGTTTAAGATGCCTCAGCAATAAAAAAATTACTGAAATGCTGTGAAAACTTCGCGCCATGAATTTTCTTCCAACAATCAGTGGAAAAATAATTACAAAATTATTTTTTCAAGATCTGGATGGAACGAGTGGTTAATAATTTTAAGAAATTTTCAAAAATATGAGGTGGTCGCCAGGTGAAGGTGCCTCCATCTTGCTTGGATGCCCCTCCCTCTGCCGCCAGGTGCTTTAAACATGGCAACACCTCCACCTCGCACTTTTAAACCTTTCTTAAAATTATTTATCGTCTCCGGATCACTCCCAACTCACTTCATTCGGTTTCCATAAAGGGAACAAATTTTTTAAGCCATCTTTCAGATTTTTCCGCCCCCTTTTGGCAGAGAATTCATGGCGCAAACTTTTCGCCGCAGTTTAGTAGCTTTTTTTACTCCCGAGGCCTCTCAATGGGGGAAAGACGACTAGAATCACCTTGGAATATTATTCACGCCTCGCAGAATCATATAATTTCCATTGCCCTTCTATCAGTACTCCCCCATTCGACGCTTGATTAATCTAAACGAATAAAAAGACAAACACCCGCTCTATATTGCCTACAGATACGACATTGGGCTGTAAATCTCGTTGATGTCGAGGCTTGCAATATTTGAAATTCCCGGAAGGAGGATCACGCAATGTAAATTTGAGATAACGCACAATGTTCCCTCGAGTATTCAAACCCAGAGACGATGTTCCTGTTCTGGGAAAGACTGGTCGGGTCTCAGGGAGATAGAGGTGTGCCGGGTCCCCTCCCCCCCCCCCTTCGTGTAAATCTTGTAATTCTCTTAGCACAGACGACAAAGGATTTTTCATGTGTAAAAGAAACCGAGGCCGCACGTTTATTTCCCCCCAAGCTGGTGTATGTACTGCGGTTAGGCGCATGATTCGGAGAATGCACGAGTAAATTTTACCTTCGGTCCAAAAGTTAAATGGCATGGGAGATTACACCTGGATGAGTTACGGGGTGCCCTTGGCTTTTAGGTAGATGAAATTGCGTGGGGAAATTGCATTCTGTAACGAATATTTATGGATTTTTTTAAATTTTCTTTATTATGAATAAATATTCGGCCAGTTTATGCGTTACTTTTGAACATTCCTTGGAAATTTTGGCTGGAATGTTCAAGCGTTTTCTGGAATTTTTGATTTGAAACATTTAGTTATTTTTGTTGGGTTGAAATGAATTCCAATTTGTCTCGGAAAAACCAAAATTCAGGGAATTTAAGTTATTTGAGAGTCATTTTGGAGAAAGATTGATGAAATAATTTGAAATTTGCAATTTTTTAAATCACGAGCATTTTCGATGAATAATAATTTATAAACAATCAATTGTCCACCATAAAAATCAATTGTTGCGAATCGTAACAAAAGTTTAAATAACGTCAATTACTTATTTATAAATAACGAATGATAAAAAAATAATTCTACGCGAAATGTAACTTGAGTGACGCCGAATATTCATGATTTTTTTCAAATTTTTCTCACCCAATTTAATTGACAAATTTGATAATTGAAAATGGTTGATTCTATACTGTACCAAACCGTAAAAAATACTTAGCTATCTTTAATCGTTCAATGAAAGCTGCTATCAAGATGAAATGAATTGAATGGAGAATTCTAAAAAAATCGCCTCAGCCTTTTATTTTGGATGAATAGAATTCAAATTTTTTTAGCCACAGAATTCGTCATCAAATTGTGAATTTCTAATGTCAAAATTCCCTGAAAATTCAGGAACTGTTACAACTTATTGCAAGAATTCGTAATAAGATTTGGGTGGAAATTTCGGACATTTGTATCTCTGAAACAAATTTGATAGCAGAATAAATTTTTGTTTTCTTCTCTGTGCACATCTCGCAATAATCTAGCAATTCTCCGAGGTCACGACGTTCTCCCAGAACCCCTCATCTTGCTCCCGTTCTCACTCCCCCCCCCCCCCCAANCACTCCCCCCTCAAACCAAAATTTTAATCCACCTCGAGTTCATGGACCGAGCACGAAGGACTTACGGAGAATCGTGGTCTTCCGCAAGTGCCCGAGCCCTCTCTGTCTCCGCGAGTCTTGCGAGAATCCTCAACGATCGGTACCATCTTGCTCCTTTTTGTTTGCTCACTGTACCGAGAATCACGTGATAATGCATCTCTTTGTCGGCCTCCGCTGAAATTTCATACGTGACCCAGCGGCTCGCGATAAAAACCATTTTCGGGTTATTTCAATAGAGCGTTATCCAATTATTCGGAACACGATGAGGAAAACATTATCTCGATGAGATAAGAATTATCAGTACTGAGTTACCCAGAAAGTAACGATGTACGTACGATAATTGAGAGAAAGGATGGGAAAATTATCTCTTCATTTTCTAAGTAAAAAAACCGGAAAGTTTATATTTCGTTGAATTTTCCTGCGCACGGCTGACAGTTTTAGGAAAAAATCGAAAATTATATGTGACATTGAATTCCATTTAGAGTTAAGAAATAACGAAATTTCAAATTTTATTGGATATTGAAGGAACGTTCAATTTTTAATAAAAACATATTTAGTAATAAATTACGCTGGATTTTCAACTAATTAAAAATTCAATTCCATTAATTTTCATGGAGTAATTGAACTAAAATTCAAATTTTACTGGAAATTTAATGAAATTTCAATTTTTAATAATTTTTTTCTTCTCGTATACCCTTTCGGGTCTTTACGATTTG